TCATATATCAATATTGGGGAAATCAACAATTTACAATTAATATCGCCCGTCGCGTATAAACGCATTTGGTAGATTACCCAAAAACCTTTTATTCCACGGTGGGCGCGTATTACATTTTACAAATTTATCAAAGATCTGGGTCATGATGGAATTATCGTATAAAACCGGATTGCGGGATTCATCGACTCTTATCCGCGGAATATTCGATAAAAATTAAGTTGCGGTATAGAAGAGGAATCACGAGTTTTACCTCCTATTTCTGAGGCAGGCGAGTTTCAAGCTTTATTTTGTTGCTGAAACGGTCGACTTCATAAAATGTCGTTCTGTTTCGTTCTCAAGCCGAGGTAGTTCCTGGAAGACCATCGCCACCGGGCCGACCAGATAAACATTGTCGATCCCCAAGTATCTTCCCCGAACTTTTTCACAATCTCGTACTCTCTCAGGAATATTTTCGAAGTTCGTCCGTTTCCTTTACACGCGCTCGTAGTACGACTTTCCCAGATAGAACGCAGAAGTCATAATAATACCTTAACACTTTTAATTAGTCACATGAAAATATTTGTGTCGTTAAACAAAATGATTTGGAGTCGCGGCGACTAATTAAAGGTTAAAGATATCCTAATATCATGAATTTATAAATAATAAAAATAAAGTCATGACTGCGTCTTATAATATCATTATAACTTCTGTGTTCTACTTGAAAAAGGCGCAATACCGACGTCATCATGACATCATAGGAGCCATAAGGCTCACATCATTTAATGCTCACAGCGCTCTTGGAATTATTTCATCTTTGTTGTTTATCAAATATTAAACAAAGACAAATGATGCTCATAAACGTTGTGAGTGCCAAATGAAAGGCAGCCATAATGATACCATAGGACATCTCTCACATTATGACCTTATAAGTGATACATAAAGTCATGATGATGTCCTATGATATATCATTATGACTCTTATGATATCATGATGACGTCTTATCCACAGTTGGAACATTTGTGTTAAATATTTAACACATTTATATTTTCCAACTGTATTATTAGCATATTTTTTTATTGTTAGTAAAATTGACATTTACAATTAAATTAACGTTTATTTTATTCATCTTGAAACTCGTTTTAAAATACATTATTTGTTCACTTATTTATAAATAACGTCATTCTGTGGCAATAAGAAATATTGAATATTAATTTGAGACACAAAATATTCAAACAACATAATCACATTATGTTAAATGGACATTTATATATGTTAAAAATTTAACACAAAAGTTTAACAAGAACTTGAGTGGATCGATTTTAATAAAAATATCAAATGTTTTTTACTGTGTGGTATCATTATGACTGGCGGCTGTGGTCATATTTCGACAAGCACTCCCAGCAGTCCTAGTAGATATATTAGACTACATAACTACTATAACATATACGTAAGTATACATATTTTACATATATATTATACGGTTATGCTCGGTATTTACTGGACTATCAGCACAGAAAATCTATAGTATAGTAATCTATAGTAGCGTGAACTATAAATTTTCAATACTGGCAATGTATATTGGAACACGGCCTCTGTGTTTTGTCTGAGTCACCGTCTCAGCCCAATGATCCACGATGCAAGTATGCAACACCCGCCGAAGGATGTCAGATCTGCCTCGACAGCTGCGTTTCTAGCATCGAAAGGCACTTATTTAAGGTACTTGCCGCATTTTTTTTTTTTCTTTTCTCGAGACTCTCCTGCTTAGAGAGCCTCCACAACGTGAATGTTCCAGCCGCGTATCGCCCAAGGATGCATGACACCTGCAAAAAAACTGGGAGAAGTAGCTTCGGCGGTCGTGTGTTTACAGCGCAATCGGAAGACGGCAGGCAGTGGTATCAAGAGATAACGGAGACGCGAATGAAAGGACGGCTGTGTGACACCCGCGTACCGGAATTCGAGCGAACAATTGCACGGACACCCCAACCCCCGTGCACAAACAACCGGAAACTACCCGACAACAAAGGTACAATGCGCGATGCGCGCCATTTCGTTCATTTTATGAGCGCGTTCTTCCTTTATTTTTTGTTTTACGCGGTCTGATTAATCTTGTTCTGCGACTAATCGCGTGACATTGCGACGGATCGAGCCGAACGTGACGACGGAAACGAGCTTGAGTTTTCCTTCCACGATAAATCGCACTGACAGCCTTAACCGATTCTTAATGGTGATCCCTGTTCCCATCTTGTTGGCGATCCAATTAAGATATACATGGTGTCTCAGAAACGATGATATGTTTAATCTTGATCATAGAGATACTCAAATGTACTATGTAAGTGATGTATAAAGAGAGGAAAGCGTTTATATAATTTTTCATTGATCCGCTATGTTCGGTACAGTGTTTAAGATAAAATGAGGTAAATGCATAAAATGGAATGAGATACATGCACGGAAAAAACGATTTTGCTAAGTATCTAAAAATTTAGCTAAATATAGATTTAAAAATAATTTGGTTGGACTAACAAAATAATTATGTAGAATGCTCAAACTGATTGTTAGAATATCAAAATTTTTTGCAACGTTGCACATCATGCTTGAGTTTTTACGTAATTATTTTGATAGTTCAACAAGATTATTTTCAAATCTAGCTAAATTTTAAAATATTTCAGCAAAATCGTACTTTTTGTGCACATATGATAATTTCTTATTTGTAAAATATAACGGTATAACAGTTAATAATCACACTTACAAAGAATTTTGTTGAAATTCAACTATAAAATATAAAATTCAATATAATATTCAACTATAAAGTTATAGATACAGTTCTGAAAGTAATTTCGTCGGACTATCAAAATAATTATACAGGAAATTTAAGCATGCTGTTACAAAACATTTTAACATTCTAGCAACAAATTTGAACGTCCTACATACATAATTATTTTGATGGTTCAATAAAATTATTATGTATCAGATATGTATTTAGCTAAATTTTTAAATATTTTAGCAAATTGTTCTTTTCGTGTGAATATCTCATTCTATCTCATGCATAATTTATCTCAATCTATTTTGAGTAGATCCTGAAAGATACAGCTGACCAAACACGAAAAAAAGGGTTTTGTTGAAGCATCTAAAAATTTAGCTGGATACAGATATAAAAGTAATTTTGTTAGACTATCGAAATAATTGTGTAGAAAAATCAATCGTGATAAGCAATGCTGGAAAAAGAATTTGACATTCTAGCTACTAATTTGAGAATCCTCTCTATAAAATTATTTTAATAATACAAAAAATTATTTTCAGATCTACATCTAATTTTTAAATATTTCAGCGCGAAATCATCCTTTCCATAAATATATGATATCTAATCTCTTATTTGAATATTCTAATTATACATTCTCGGAATCAAAACCTACAGTCGAATTTTCCCTTCAGGAAAATTTCAAGATAATAATTTATTGCAGTCTATTAATATTCAACAAACGTCTCAATGTGTCATCTTTTTATCGCAAGTGACTCAATTTTACCGCAGCTTGGGAACGATTCGCGCTACAGTTACTTTTAATGTTAGAAAAATTCTAACATTAAAGTCTAGGATTGGCCGATGAGACTGTCGTTAAAATAATAGTTACGGTACACCCCGTAGATGAAGTAACAAAATTTAATTAATCGAGGTTAACGCCGATCGGTATCGCTGCAACCGGTCCCAACCGCCCATCATATTACTCTACAAGATAACCGCTGTCGTTAGCATGACCAGATAAATATTGTCACTGAATATTGTCAGGTAACTCGGGCGTAACCGCGTTTTCGCACTCAATTTTTATCTAATCGATACGTGGTCGTTACTTTCCCTATACATATCGCGCGCATTAATTACAAATAATGGTTTTTCGCACTGTCGTTTGTTCGACCATTTAATAAATAGTCTAAAGCTTGGATTAATAAGGCAATAACATGTATATAAAACCGGTTATGTTGATACATGTGTATAATGAATCCATTATATAATCACGTATTGATATACGCGAAGTAAACATTAGACAGAATGAAATTTAGATTTTAATACATGATAGATTAATGACAGACAGATAGTATTCTATATACATATAGTGTTCTATATACGGAAAGTACAGTTTTGTTTTACATAAACATTTAGCTATCACGGAAAATATAGATTTGGTGGTTCAGTAAAGCTATAACTTACTGCGCGAATTCAACATTTATTATTAAGAAGACTTGATGATTCAACAAAGAAATCATGTCTGTAAGCAATTATCGATATGTTAATTCAGTTAATTGTTTCAATGGAAATTGCTAATGTAACAAATTTTTTTATTACTATCTTAGTATGTTTTATTAAAAATTTTGATTTATGTATTATAGATTGCTTTTCATAGAAAGTTATCTTTGCTGTATTAAATAATTTGCTGTGCTGTTCCAACAAATCTAATTATCTATTATCGCTAATTTTATAGCCAGCCGCAACTTCGCTACTTTAACATAGAAAACTACCTGTCCGTATATTATGGTTATAGATTTGCTGAATTAGTGAAGTTTTAAGTTATTTTAACAAATCTTTTTTTTCGTGTAGATACAGATTAAAAAATAATTTTGTTGGACTATCAAGACATAGATCGCTCAAGCATAATGAATAATGCTGCGAAAAATTTTGATATTCGAGCAATCAGCTTGGGTGTCCTCATAATTATTTTGATCTAACAAAATTATTTTCAAATCTGTATCTAGCTAAATATGTAAATATAATATTTTAATAAAAACTTTCTTTCTGTGTATAACGTTCGATAAGAAACACATCATTCAGGATTATGGGTGTGGTCAAAGTCTCACTACAAATGCTTTGAAGTATTTGATTGACCAAACAAAAGAAAGAGTTTTACGAACTGACCGATCACCGATCAAAGAACGCTTCGAAGCATTTGTAATATTATGTTGGCCTTATCCTATATTTTCACTACAAAAATCGAACTATTTGATTTTAAATCTATATATAAAAAGTTCGCATGACTGGATCATGTCTAATCGTATTATCATTAAAATTCATATCGGTTTTTTTTTTAAAAGATTGAACGGATTTGTAAATGTAACCATGTAATCGTAAATCGACTCTATTTGGACTACTATTGAAAATTGCGAGTCACATCCGTGCGGTTGCAATTGCACGAGTTAGAATCGGATTGCGAGTGCGAATCATTACTACTGCGAGTTTCACAACGTTGACTGTTCGAATCACATTCGTGCGATTGTGTGCAGTTGCATGAGCTAGAATAGGACTGTGAGTCCGAATCGTTGCTACTGCAAGTTTCAAAGCTGGCTGTTCGAAATATTTCTCGTCGAAGATCGTCCTTTATGTCTGATCGTTTATCGGCGGACGACAAGTAATCCAAAAGGTCAGCAACAATTTCTCGACGTGGTCTGTTGAAAAATGTACCTACAACCTCGTGAATATCGATGAGCGGCTGCTTCGATAGGACGTGCCTGCGAGAGCGATTTTAATGACGTATCATTAATCTCCAACGATATTCTCGTCACGTATCAAATATTATAATTGGCGTTTCGCGTTTTTTATAAAATTGTTATTAGGGAAGAGACACAAATTGAATATAAAAATTCTACACTGTGATACACACATGAAAAAAAATAGTTCACCGAAATATCTAAAAGATATAGACCAGAAAATAATTTTGCTGGACCGTTAAAATAATTATACAGAACGCTTAAATTAAATTGCTAAAATGTTAAAATATTTTGCATTATCATCATGCTTGAGCGTTCTATATAATTATTTTGATGGTCCAACAAAATTATTTTCAGATCTGTATCTGAATAAAATTTTAGATACATCAGCAAAACTATGTAAATTCGAATATGTAGATACATATATTTCGTTGGATCATTAAAATATATAAAACGCTTAAAAGTTGATAACTTTGCTACAAAAAATGTTGGCATTCTAGCAACCAGTTTAAACGTCCTATATAATTATTATATAATTTTGATGATCCAAACAAAATTAATTTCAGATCCGTGTTTATATATTATACTAAATTTTTAGATATTTCAACAAAATCGTTTTTTCCGTGTATATATTTTTCTGACGTAATTATAAAATATTAAATGCGAGTGTACCTCAATAAAATACCGACCAGACCTCTGATTTCAGGGTGTGATTTAAAGTAAATTTCGTTTTCCTTTCGAGTCGTCATTTTCATTTTGTTCAAAGCTTGTTTCTGATCTCTCGTTAGAGCGCCCACGTCGTAATTTTGCATGCCGTGCGGTGGATCCGCAGGATGAAAAGCGTTTCGGGCTTTAAAAGGCCGGTTAGACATAATGATCACCGAAATATCTCTTGACAAGGGAGTTCGCTAACGAAGCATGCTTGTCACGCGTAATATCTCCAGTATGTCAAATTTCAAATTATTACTTCGTATAATATTTTTTTGCATTTGTTCATGCGCAAATCGCGCGATACGACGCGACGAGGTCCGTAAAATGCAGAAGTGACTTGACCGACAAAAAAAATTTGACGCATATAAATTAGCTTTTGTTTTAACGCGAAATAACATACACGAATCTGCACACACGCGACGCTACGGCACGGCATAAATATTGATGCAATCTATGACAGCGATATCCAGGCGATGACTCACGTCATGTCCATGTATACTTGCGAAGATTAGCTAACTATAAGCCTTTCTAGTTAACAGCTTTATGTGGAAAACTCAAGATGAATAGGCACATATATATACGTTAAAAATACATAGAACGTTAATTCTAATAATAGAGACAAGTATAAAAATCGATTTAACAAAAATGATATTTTAATACAAATTTTAATGCAATAATATTTTTATACAAATAATTGCGATTAAAGTATAATAACATAATATATCGATAACGTTATGTCTCGCACATATAGAATGAGAGATTATAGTATATTTTTTTTCTTTATGCTCGCAGAGGACGTATATAGAAAAAATATTATCAGTTCAAATTTACGCTTTAATCGCGTTTTTAAATTGTTTGCATTTTGTTACGTAAATGCTGGTCATGGATATATTTTCGTTTTGATAGATTCCCTGAGTCGAATATCTCTCTACAATTTTACATATGAATTTATTTCCAGATCGTGTTCCTGCATTCTAAAATAACATAGTTTCTCGGTTTTCTCTAAAACAATATTCGGCTTGCCCTATTTATAAAATATTTCGAATTAGTATTATAACAAATCGTATTTATATACATTTTAATTACTATATATATTTAATTAATAATCGAGTGACAAATTAGTTGTCATTTTAATCTTTCTATTTCTTCTGTATTACATATTCGACGTTTATTCTTTATTACATTTTTATAAATATCTGATCCTGATATTATATGGTTGACTCAAGAGAACTATGATGAGTCTCTTTTTCTTTTTTTGCCGTGTTGCATCGCGAATTGGAACATTAAATCAATATGTCATTAATAAGTAGGCTCGTAGGCCGTTGCTTATCAATTCCGCGCGATGTTATTGCACTATCGAGAGGATATCGTGATTTGAGATAATTTCTCCTAGCAAGTCCTATTTATTGTTAAACTGACTTGTTTATTTTTCCATAATTGACTAGATATTAGAATGTTTATGTACGGAAAGAACGATTTTGTTGAAAATCTAAAAATTTAGCCACATACAGATCTGAAAATAATTTTGTTGGACGATCAAAATAATTACATACACTGAAAAAATGTATTAAATTTTAATAAATCTTGTTTGAAAAGTACCGACTAAATATTTACTAAATATACAAATATATTTTTTGGTACCAAGCCATTAATTTTATTTAATTTTTATTGAGTAAATATTTATTATTTTAAATAAAGTTTAGTTGGTACTGTTCAAATAAATATTTATTAAAATTTAATATATTTTTTCTCAGTGAAGGAATCTTAAGCATGATGAGCAGATTTTCCTGCAAAAAGTTTTGATGTTCTGCAGATAGAAAAATATATACTACACGATATGCAAATAATAATTACTTCTTTTAAATATTTCAAAAGTTCATATACCTGTAAATCTATCATAAGTTCATCACAAGTATTAAATTTATACAAACTATATTCTAAACCTTAATAAGTTTAATATTTTAATCAAGATTATTAAATTAAAACAAATTCTATTTGAATATATTATAAAATCGGTTTTTCGATAAATTCTTTTATATTCTTCAAAAGAAAACAAATTCTTGTTTTCTTTTGAGTAACATAATAATGAATTTGTCTAAAATTTGTATAAGTATTCTATTTTAATATTATTGTATTATCAAAAATACACTTTTTATTAAAGATAACTGTTACTTAAAAGTAAGAAAGTAAATTGAGTTATCACTTTTTTTTAGCAATAAAACAATATTTTTCTGTGTAGCAACCAGTTTGTGTATCGTACATGATTATTTTAACAAAATTATTTTTAGACCTGTATTTACCTAAATTTTTAGATACTTTAATAAAATCATTCCTTCCGTGTAACGTCTGTGATATTTACACGAGAACCTTCCCATCTACCTAATACTAGGTACAAAAATGACATTCGGTAGAAAGTAAAGAATATCTCCCGAGTATTTTGCAGTTATATTTCAACCTGTTAGCACAGGAGGCGAGGTTTTCCCGCAAGAGGAGAGAATCACGTTCTTATTGCGTCTTTCCATGGTGCGGAAGATCGCTTGCAAAAAGTGCCCGCCGCTGATGTATCTTCCGCGTTGTACACTAACAGGTTAATATTCTACACGTTGTAAAACAAAAAAGATAATACGAGCGCGCGGGGGCGAGTGATGGCGCGTCGCGAATACGGTAATTAAAATGCCCCGACAGGAAACGACGTCGCGCCACGACTCCTTTATTATCCTACCGCGCGACGACGCCACGTACCCGAGTTTTTCTGCGACTCATCGCTCAGTTCGCGGCATCGGATATTGCGGCGGCAACGTCGTTGATTTTTTTATTCCTTCTTTTCCTCGAGATGGGGGTTTTCTACGGGTTGCGCAAGAAAATAATGCAAATGCCCGCGAGCGTACAATTTGCGCGAACTAGCAGGAGGAACTATCGTCGCCGCGCGATTACGTAACCGTTGTATGACAATAGAAGGAATATCCCATGATTTTCTACGCTGCGGTTGCGGTTGATAAGAACTTGATCCATCACGCATGTATTTTTTTCGACTGTCCAAGTCAATTCTAAATCGCGCCAAGTCATTGGTTTGCTTCTACGAGATTGTTGCGATAATCTCAGGCTTCTTCTTGACGCATCGCAACTTCAACAAGTTGACGAGTTTCCGTCGTTGTTTCTTGTGGGTAGCGAACATCAGAAGCCACAGAATCGGCCATATTAGCCGGCATATCTTCATCACCACGAGCTTGTTCAGGCAAGCGAAGAGCAAGCCGAAAAACCACGGTGCACCCATCAATAGGTACATCTGCAAGAAGAGGAAGTACTTTTTCCTGAGGGCGTTGGACTGATTCCTCGTCGCTATCTCTGTGCTTTGTTGTATTCGTATAATCTTGTACGTGGTGAACACGAATAGCACATTGTTTTTCATGGGTAGGCCGAAGAAATATAAGTTCACCACGTAGTTCGGTCCGTCATGATAACGGCGGTAATTCGGCTTAAATGGTAGGTCCTCCGGGATGCCAGGGCAAAATTCCAAGATGATGGCGACGACGGCGGGTAGGAAGGCGCCGCCCCACGCGAAAACTCCGTACAGTCGGAGTCGCCTGTTCTCTTGATTCGTCTGCTTACCCGAGCTTATCATCCAGCGGAACCGCGTAATGGAAAGTGCCATATCGAAGCAGATTACGTTCAACCAGAATACCGTGGCGTTCGTGAAGTACTGCATTAGTATCCACAAGAATGTTTCCAAGTTGTCGCTCATCGAGATGCCGCACAAGTTGCAGTAGCCGAGAAACGTCAGCAAACACCCCTGCAGCAGCAGGCAGACGTTGTGGCGGAGCACCGCGCGATTGTAGATACTCCTGGCGAGTTCCGGAACAGACAGGTACACCACGACGACGATGATGGAGAGGACAACATGGGCCACGTTAGTGTCCATGTAAGTCTGAGTGCCCCAGAAGAACACGTTTCTCAGATCGCTGCAGTGATGAACAACCTGCGTTTCATCCTCCTTTGACGATACATTCGTCATGCTGAGGGTGGTGATGGTGGTGATGGTCGTCACGGTAATGATCGTCATCGTCGTCATTGTCGTCATTGTCGTGGTTTTTATTACCACTGTCGTCTCCGTCGAATTCTCTCTGTCCCGAGTCACTTCTGAGACTCCGGTTTCCGCGCATTTAATCAGCACCGTTGTACCGTTGATCATGTTTTCGATGCAATAGTCCCTCGGCGCACGAAAGATGGAATAAATGCGAGGGAGGTCGTATGGATGATATTGCGAATTGGAGTCATCCTCCTCATTATCGCTGCAGTTCAAGCCCCGCACGGACGCGATCAATGTGGTAATCTGCCGCGGACGTTGGGCGATTGTTCGCCAAGTATCGTGCGTGGTGTAGTTGAGCTTGTCCGGTTCCTCGTGGACGCACTCTAGATCTTCGTTGAACGCGTAACCGGCGACGCAGCATTTCTTCGACGCGCCTGATCGATGCACGACCTCCGAATGAACCGGACGGGCCGCGATCGAGACCAGGTGTAGCAGAAGAATCGTGATGGACGATGACAAGTGCATACTGACACACCCGATGCCTCACGTCCTCGCACTGACCGACCGTGTCCGGAGACTTCGGAGTGTTACGATCACGGACGTGTCTTCCCGGCATTTGACAAGTCGGAAACAATCGGGGACTGACGATGTCTTGCCGGCGCAGTATCGCCGCCGTGATTTTTCTTTCATTTCTCTGGATGACGCAGCCACGCCAGACATACGAACGTTTATCGCGCGATGGTAGTAGACAGGTTCCAACACAGACAATTATCGTGGCTGCGAACCATGGACAATACATGCGCTCAATTTTCACAACATGACCACTATTTCCAGTAAAATCGATGAAACTTACGGAAACGAGAGTCTGATTGAATCTTTGAATCTTTCAATCGACGCGTTGCGTAACGTATTGTTATAAAAGCGATTGATGGAGACAGGAAGGGAAGTGTTGCTTGACTGTGTTGCTGAATTTTCCATTTCTTGAACAAATATTCAAAAAGTCTTTCAGTCTTTTCACATAATATAAGAATTTAATGAAATATTAAAAATAAGTTTGTAATTAAATTAGTAATTAATGTGTACACTGAAAGAAATGATCTTGCAGTTATAGTGGAAAATTATTTAGATACAAGAAATGAGTTAAAATGGATAAGTGACTAGCAAGCACTGCGATATTATATATATTTTATGTCTAATCAATATAAATGACAGAGATAGAATTTATATCTGAACCATTATTGTCAAATTCATTCAGACGGTCTCTCTGTAATGTTCAATCAGGTAATAGTGATTGTGATTCATATTTAGCAGTGATTTATATTTGATTATGACCTAAATTTTTTTGCATATATTGTTAAAATATTGTGCTATGAATTCTACTCGTATGATACATAATTTTCTACCAGACACAAAAAAAAGCGATAATTCTAGCTGGAGCAGCAAAATATTTTTTTGCATGTAAGCATTCCTGAATTTTTCAGATTTTTTAACCGTACAGTTTTCTTTAAATAATATTCTAAAATAGCTTAAAATCTTATTAAGAGAAAAGAAGGATTTAATTATAAACAAAATATATTAATTTTGAAGAGTTATATGGATATAAAAGAATGGAATTTAAAGAACATTTTGAAATAAAAAAAAATGAAGTTTTACTGTATCATTTTTGTGTAAGAGTATGACATGTTCATTAATTCTCTTTAAATGATGTCACATTAGTAAAAATGTGGCAACGTCGTTTCCACCAGAATTTTCAATATCTAAATTAAATTTAAATAATAATATAAACAATTTTTCTTCAATATTTTTCACATATAAATATTCATTTTTATTATCAAAAAATTAAATTTCATTCATTATTTATTTTTTAGAAGATAGCAATTTGCATTTTGCTCCTTTGTGCTCTAGTGTTAAGATAAGGAAAATCACGTTATTCCCTCTATTTAAAAAAAAACTGGAGAACCTCCTTAAAAATAATACGATGTTTTTCTAATAAAATGCTTCTATTGAATTTATGTGAAGCTATTATATTTTAATCCATATATTTAAATCATTACGCTTAATTAATCCATATATTTAAAACATTACGATTGATTTAGTATCAGGTTTATGTAGCTTTATTAGATTTAAATCAAATAAGAGAATCCTATTTTTGTTCGAAATGGATCTTGGTGCTTAATAATATTTACATATATGTAGGTAAATTTATAAATACATTTATCAGTTGTATAAACCGCTGATTCAATTGTCGGATTTGAAATGCATTCATAAACTGAAGTTGGAAATAACACAAATTACATAATCGTTAATTGAATAATGGAAAATTTATTTTATAAATATACGTATAAATATAAATATTAAAGTACTGAGAGATCCGCGACAAAAATAGGATTTTTTCTATTATTTAATTTATATTTCTCAATTTAATTTTTTCATTTATAATTGTTTAATAGATTTTAAATAAAAATTTAAAATATAATAAAATTGCATGGAAACTAAATTATATGAGAATGGTGTGTTATATAATATATACTTTTTACTCGATGTTTAATAAAAATTTATTAGACCCCCCTTATCAAATTTTTTATAAAAACGTAATGAAATTATAAATAAAATCACACGAATTTTTAATAAATAATTTAAAAATAGCAATATTCTGATTGTGTGGATTATATGATGTAGATCTGAAATAAATATTATTTAAATCACGCGCGATATTAGTTATAGGCGTAATTGTATACTTCGTTGCAGGTTTCCCGTGCGAATTGTTTGCAAAGTGCAGACTATTCGCGACGTAGTACAGCGCGGCATAGTTGACGCTATCGATTTTACGACCAATTAATCGCGAGACACAAAGGATTTTTCGTATATTTATGTGACACAGCATGCATCTGTCTCGAACGCGCGTCAATCATGTCGACGTGTGCGTGCTGAACGTGCAAAGAGTTTCCTCCTGGCGTCGTACGTTTCTCTGTTCGGGGAAGAGCTGAAAGCGCTTAACGTCACGAACAGTGCGATTGTTGCAGGCAATAAATAAATCCCCATCTTGATCCTTCGCGGACGCGGCGAGGATACCGGTACAGCTGCGAAATGGCGGAAACCTCCGCGACACGTGAAGGTGAACGCCGTGGAAGGGGGACAAGGACGAGAAAAAGGTAGGGTGATACAACTGGAGTGGTGCGTAGTAACGAACGTAACTATTGTTGGTGGTAGCTGTGAAGAGACCGTCGACGGCGTCGACTTGAATCGCGATCCTCTCGAGAAAATTGCAAGTCGCGAGACCGAGTCTTACGAAATTATTACCGCTAATCAGGCGTGAGATTAGGTTTATGCGATTATCCTATTTGCGCGTAAAAAGTGCATTTATTTTTTCTGGAATTGGGTTGGAAATGTCTATAATAATGTAGGTTCACCACATAAATAAATTGATTATAAATATATTATGAACATGAAAGTATTTGGGAAGCATAAATATATACACACACACACATATATATATATATACATATACTGGCAGGTATAAATACAATAATTAAATGGTAATAATTTATTATTTTATTTTGTATTATATGAAACGTTAATATGCAATTGACAATTGACATAGTAACCAATAATCGATAGTTGACGATCCGTCGGCTATGTTATATAAAATGTTATTTGCTCCAGAAAATTTTTTTTTAGTAATTATTCATATGTTCCTTTTCTCATTTTGCTTTTTTTCATTGTTTTCTCTAAAAAATTATATGTATATTTTTAATTTTAATCTTGCTAAGTTACATGCGGTCGATACTACTGTAACCTCAGCTTCAACATATAGGATATCGATGCTAGATGACGCCAGACTCTCAAAGAATTCACGGTCGGTAAATTTAAATAAGTGATTGTCTTCCATTTTGTTCCAGTTCTTCACAGTAGTGCGTTTAAATTTAAATTATTCTCGGAATCAGATACAAAATTGCAATTTAGCCAACAAAGGGTGAGTACCATTAAATATTTACCGTACTTGAAATAGATGTGAAACAATTATAAAAGCAGCGTAAAACGACCGGTTTCTCGCGAATCTTGCTTTTGGTTTATAACTTTCATTCTACATTGTTCCAATTTGAACAATCAGTTACAGCCGTGTTAGAAGAATTAAGACTATTATTATTAATATTAATATTAAGAGCTAAGCGATTTTGCGCTTCGTCAACTCAAAAGATTCGAGAATATGTTAACGCTGCCGATGGCGATGGACGAATAAAAATGCTTTTAAAAAGCTATTGTATTGTTTGATTGTTTCCCATTTTGCCCAAGTCGTAGTTTTCTATATGTAAAAATTACTAAGCTCACAAAAATTCAAAAGATAAGAGACCTTTTGAAAATAGAGCTTTTAAACTTTAAAACTTTTCTTTTAATTTTAATTTCGTTCATTTTCAACAAAATTACAGCTGCGTGAATTTTAAAGCTCATAGCGCTATGAACTTGTCTCGATTTAATCATTTTTATATTTTAAAATATGAATTTATAAACTTTTGAGTCATAAAAGAAAATTTTCCATATTATAACAAATACAATTTATATTTTACATTATACGCATAGGTATATAAAACATAGTTTTACGCACATCCGGTAATTATTCTTCTCACACTCGACTGTAATTGGTCAATTGCTTAAGACTTAAAACTTAGATAATGGCTTATTGTATAAAGCCCATAAGATTTTCACGGGATATATTGTATCTTTCAAAGAACGCAGACAAGACAAAATGTCATCGGACGCCCGCACCCGTAGACCACGGGGTTGTATTGTGATTATTGTGATTAGAGGCTTTATTGACACTGTCAGGACGGATACATGATAACAGTCAAGACAGCTTGGAGCAAGAGGGCTAGCAGGAGATCGATTTCTTTGATCGTTAGGTCGTTGGCAGTGCCGGTGCCGTTGTTGCATAGATTAGTCTCGCAACAGGCGGTACAGGCGTAGAGCTTGGTGCGTTCGCCGATCACGATGCACCCGGGCTCGCATTTGTTCGTGCAGTTTCTCTGGAGGGACCACGTCTTCGGACTGGAGGTCGAGTTCTCGGTGCTGGTGGTGTAGGAGAATCGCTTCACCTGCAACGCATGAGCTCATCTTACATTGTGTTTCAATTTTATAAAGTGCAGTTTTATCGAGCGTACTTCTGTGGAGCTCTCATATGAGATTTGCGCGGAAAAATTAGACGAGATAGTCACAATTACATTGCAAATCAGATGACATAGTCATAATTACATTGGAAAAGAAACCTGTTTGCTTCATCATTATACAGGGTCCGTCAAAAGTCCCGGGCCGGCTAAATATTTTGGAAAATATGCATTTTTGAGAAAAATGTTTCAGACAAAAGTTGTAGGGTTTAAAAAGACCTATTCACTGATCACATCCGCTTGACTTTGGGTGGCGCCACCAAGGTCAGGTCAAGGTCAAATTAATTTTTTTAAATGGAATACCCTATTTTTGATGCCAGAATCTAATAGCTAGTATCAAGAGCTTTTCAAAACACTATAATAAAGTTATTTTTTATTTAGTACTTTTCGAGTCAAGCGAATGTGATCAGTGAATAGGTCTTTTTAAACCCTACAACTTTTGTCTGAAACATTTTTCTCAAAAATGCATATCTTTCGAAATATTCAGCCGGTCAAGGGACTTTTGGCGGACCCTGTATAATCATCTGGATGAGTGACTTCATATACGCTATTGAGAGCTTTCATATAGCGATGTTTCTGCGTAGGAAAATTTAACAGCGGGTTTTTATACGAGGATCTATGTCACAAAGGAAAACCAATAGCTCGTATTCTATATACTTTGTTTGTACATTTTGTAGAGATGTATGATATTGAGTCTTTTCTAAAAAAAAACAAAATGGTTGCTTTTAACGCGTATGTGAATAATATCGGAAATATTAATAAATTCATGATTTATTAAGTTAGCGTGTTGAACACATATTTCTATTAAAAATTAAAATTTTTAGAGAAATTGTATTTTTTCATATTATTCCCTCGTTATATTAGAAATCAGAGGAAATTATAAATGAAATCTTTTCTATACCACCTGGCATTTCGACAATTGCTGTACTTGATAAATAAACAGCCATGATACGACGTACCTCATGCATGTAATAATTTGACCGCACAAATAAATGCTTGTTCATGAACATGATGTTTGTATGTTCAATTATATATTAATTCGCTCAGATAAACAAGGTTTAAATTATCATATAACAAGTTCGCATTAAATGCGCACGAGAATCCACCACGGACCTGTTCGTTAAAATCTCGCTTCAACCAACTCAGAGCAATTGTTTCAGAGTAACTATTCCAATTTTCCTCTGAGAATAGGTCAATCGCATCAATCACCGTTTCTACATAATATTCTGTATGAAATGTTTTGTGTATGCGAAATTATGATGCAAATCTTAATATAGAAGGATCGCTGCATTTGATGTTAATCGAGTTGTGTAAGAACGAAAGGTACAAACCTATTTCGTCTTACCATGCAGATTCTTCTGTCGTCCGTGCATTTGTGCTCGTAGTCACTGAAATTGCCACTGTTGCCAGTGATACATTTCTCACCGTGATCCATAGTGAAGCACTGATAACACCATAAGTCGTTGGCCCTTTCAGAAGCCGCATTGGTCCGATGCTCCTTTGACATTAGCTGTCCTGTTTTATTAGAAAAGTCATTCGTATTACGTACACGTGCATACATAATCGATACGAACCAATTATATCAAAAGTTCAAACGCATGGCAAAGTAGGACACTTGTATCAAAAAGTTAGCCAAAATTATTTTTTTACTAATTCTGATTTAAAATATGCTAATTATATACATACATATATATTTGTTATAAAGATTTCATATAAGTTTATCATAAAGCAAAACAGAAAAAGATATATAAAAATTAATTAATTAGATACTAATTAATTTTAATTAAAATCATATGTGTAAAAATATTTTAATAATTAGAATGGACATAATATTGCAACAAATGTAGAAAAACATATCGACCCATTATTTTGCAAATATTCAAATGTTTTAGATAGTCATCATTTATATAAAGCAAGAATGACTTTGAGAAAATTGACTTTTGGCCAACTGTTTGATATAAATAGCTCACTCTGAAACTATGGCAAATTTGTCATCGAATCATATTCCTGTGATCCAAAAATATAACTTTTAGAAACATATATTGAGAAAACTTAAAAAAAAAAAAAGAGAAAAATTATAGATTATATTCTACAAATAATTTATCTTTTATAAATTTTTTTCGCTTTTGATTCATCATATTTTTTGTGTTCGTGGATCATCAAATTTATTGAGATAAAAATATTTAAGGCAAAAAAATGCTTTTAAAGCGATTTTAATGTTAAAAAACTTCATTGTTCTGTTTTACACCAAAAGAATTGAACAACAGTTTTTTCTAAATATTTTTTCAGAGTTGCATATCTTTTTGGTACCTTTTTGATATCTTTAAAGGGGAACATAAGCTTGGACGTTTTGGTTAATTACGTTACTGCCATGTTGTCATGTCGAAATTCAGGTTTCACTAAATATTTAAATATTTCTTTTCCTTCTTACCGCCCTATTAGACAAAAATATAAAATTAGTTTTATATGATTATATGTAGAAACTACCGTGGCGCCGCCAAGCTTCCGAATAAAGTGCCTTGGTGTCAGACTCCGCCAGGACCCAACTACACCATTGATCGTAACATTATATCGTACACAATTACATTTTTATTCAAAGTATTCCACACTTACCGTTCGTAAGAGCCATCAATGTGACAAGCAGGATGCACGTGATAGGGACGTGCACATTCACGTTCATCTCGGAGGGGTCTGGCCTCGTCGCGAGTCTAAAGTAATCGTAACGACGATTCGACAATAAGTGGACGACTCACATCTTCGAGATTGCTTTCGCGCAATTTACACGCGGGTCTTACGCGGCAGTTGCGAAAAATCAACCAGATGATATCGGCGGCTGACTCCGCCATGCTGCGTCGGCGTCGGCGTCGGCGTCGACGCCTGCGTCACAGCTGCGTCGAGCTTGCTCCAGAAACCTCGAAAGTCGAAAATCAATATTCACACAACCGGCGAAAGCATTTGTCTCCACACCACGACCCACTCGACGTCAAAGCCGTTGCGTGCGCGACTCTTATGATCGCCGTTGGGATGAACCTGGAACATCACCTGAGATGAAAAATCTGAATGCATGTCCTTTCCTTCATCATCCGTTATGCAGTATGTAATTAATCTTAGCGACGAACGCGCGCAGGGGGAATTACTATTCTATCATGTTGACAACCTTAACTCTTTGCTAATCGTCGCCAGTTGTTGACGAGAGAGATGACGTATTTTGTCGTGAATGTTAAATAAAAGCACAAATATCTGCGTGATCGATAGAGGTTCCTGGAATTTCCGGGATTCGATTATGATATCACTCAATAGCATTCAACAGTCTTTAAATATAATTTTTATAAATATTCCTCTATAATTATTCGGAATTGATTTTTTTATCTAAAAAAAAAAGCAGAAGCATAATAAATTCTCTGCTTACTTAATTATTTAAAAAAAATAATTATTGGTAAAATGTAAATTTGGTGCTTTTTAAAATTTTATACGCTTTTTTAGTTTGATATATATAGTGGCGTATAATATTCTGCGTAAGTTACCTTTTTTAAATACATATATCTTGACGCTTTTTATAGGAGTGCAGGCTAGTGACATCTAGCTTAGAAAGAAGCAATATGATAAAGTATATGGTAAAATATATTATATCGCCCGGTTTTACTTAACTACTCAATATATTATCTCGAGTGAATTTTTCTAGATTATACACATTTACCCAAAGCCATTAGCTACAAAGATCCGATAATATAAATCAGCAATAATGGGAATTTCTCTCTTATCATTTTTCTAACAACCTTTTCGTGAAAATTTTATCCCTCAGTCCCTTTTTTCTTTATAGGTATATCCTAAAATGACTAGAAGCACTTTTCTCACGCGTTAGTGAGAATCATAAAGAGTCTCTTTATGTCTTTTTCGCCATTTGCAACCGCCGGCGATTTTTAATATTGTAGAGGAATATGTTTTGAAATATATTTGTTTCGCGAAATATATTTCAGAGTACGAGTCACCGCGATTCTAACATTAACGTTTCTATTTTCCGATTTTGGACGATTAAATGAGAAAATAGCTCAAGTTTGTTTGAAAGCGGATTTACCAAACTTTATAATGGATGTACATGTCCACCTGGGACAGCGTTTCGCCACTTTACTATATCCGGACAGTTGTGGTCATGCTGAATTGGTCTCACACACACAACACTTAGCGATGTCGTACCGCGACGATCTAACAATCAAAACTAACAAAGCAAAGTTCTGATTGATCTAACGTCTTGCTCACAACGTAGTACCTAGCGAATATGTCATCGTCCAACGTATTAAATAAAATTGCGGTATGTTTGACAGAAAGCTGAAGTATACCTAAAAATTTAATTATAGATATAGATTTAAAAATAATTTTATTGGATTATCAAAATAATATATAACGTGGGGCGTTCAAACTGCTTGCTAGAATGCCAAAACATTTTGCATTGTTCATGCTTGAGTTTTCTACATAATTATTTTTATGAGAGAGAGAGAGAGAGATCTAATAAAATTATTTTTATATTTATATTCATTAAAATTTTTAGATACTTTAGGAAAATTATTTTTTCCTACATTATTACACTGCTTATTGAATGTACATCATTTTTAACTTATTTTTAGCTCCAATTTCAATAACGATCATATCTTGTTTACCTTCAACGTAAATTGATCAAAACAACTTCGTTTACTCCGTTGCAAAATTACTTCTAGTGCGTCTTAATCATTTATTACGTAATGGCTGTTAGATGTAAAGAAAAGATATTTCGAACGGTACTGTAATTTGTAAGTTTCCGAACGACTAAGTTTCTTATTATAATCTTCTTTATCAAACGGTTCTTTCAGAGATTTACTTTATTACGTAATATTGCAATACGTCTTTTGTGTTTATAACTGTACGTAATCTACAGTGTAGGAAAACTTCGAAACAAATAAACAATGTATTAAACTTTTGTTTTTACAGGCAGTGAATTAATACAGAACATTAGTCCGTAAATTAAATTCTCTTTTATAGAACTTTTTTATAAGTGCATGCTTTATAAGAATTTATAAAAAATATATCTTGAATTTTTATAGCAGTTTAACGGGGCGTGAGTCAATATTAACTATACACAACTGTCAATATGTCAATATATCCATTTTTATCCGTTATTACGCGTTAAAAAAAGCAGAAAGAATTTTTTCTTTGAGATATAACATTCAATAATTTCAAGCGGTATATTCATCACAGGTCTATATTGCACCTGCACATTGCAGGGGTGAATACCCGCAGGGGAATCGATTTCAGGTTTCCCAGACAGCGGCTGTTATGACTTTTACTGGCGAATGAACCTCTTTTGATATATCAGCGAGCATTCAGTCGATGTTCAAGGAAAAAGAAACTAAAACCAAAGTAAATATGAAATGACTTGGTACGTCTATTACATAGAGTGGACAGAAACGATACTGATCGAGATATTTTTAGAACGCCACAACTTCAATGCGCCTCATTTTTTGTAAAATAACTAGGGTTGGGAAAGTTACTTTATAAATTACTTTTCAGGTTACCTTTCATGTGTTTATTATAGAAATTAAGTACAAAAGATAATACAAAATTGGAGCAAAAGTGATGAAATATAATATAAAATACCCAAACTTATTGTACTCAATTTTTATAATAAAAAGTAACTTATTATGTAACTTTCCCAACCCTGATAATAACGTACGTATTTTATCAAATTTTCAAATCTCTTATTATTTTATCGACATTTAGCTTCTATTATCATGACATAGATTTGTAAATTACCATTGTCTATTTAATAAATAATAATGCGATTATTTATATTGAATCGCGTGTCCATGATTACCTCCTTTGGAATTATTTCTTTTCAGAAATATCTGCAATAGACATTGAAAGAAGGCTTTTGTTCGCTAAAATTCTCTGAAGCTATTACCTAGACTACCGTTTAAATACAAATTACATTTATAAATTGTAAAGATATTCTTTTCAGAGTCAAATCACACAGGCATATATAGTTTGTCAAGTGGCATGTATGATACGATTTATGCGGCGAGTACGCGAATTGTATCCGTCATCTCCGAAATATCAAATTTCGATATTTGCATAGAGGATGTCAACAACGATTTACAAATATCGGTGACACTCCTTCTCATGCAGTCGACATAGAAGAGCGCAGGAGTTTAACGTCACCGGATTTCGCTATAGATAATATATAATCCATTTCGTCGCTATCGATTCGGATCCTATCGATCCGCTCCTCGTGCGAGATAAAAATGAAGAATAAATAACTTGATCTGTCGAACCTCACGAGGAAAGAAATATTCGTGCTGAAGGTCAGCTCCGGGATATGACGCGTGTCTGAGATGTTCGGTCAACGGTTCCATAAACAAGCATTTGCGGACGAGTTTTGGTGTGTATATCAGGAGAATTACTTCCGAGATATAAATTGCACAAAGGGGACCCATAACTTTTCCAACCAGCACTTGCCACGTCGTTCGCGCGACGCGTAAGAAACCTGCGTCTCGGTAGCATCGTAGAAGAGAAATGTCGGGTGATAAGTAGCTCTAATATTATTTTATGAGCTGTCTCGTAGGGCGAATATAACTTTCGAACGACAAAAATTGTTTACGACGCGAATTTTGTACGCATCTTAGCTTTAACTGCTAAATTAAAGAGAAATATGATATTCCGCCTACGCGCCATCCTTAACAGCATATTTCATATTCTTTAGAAAAATTGAAGAAGAATGGTAGCCCACACACGATTTTGGAATGTTCAATATTAAATATTATTACAATTAGATCTGTGAAGATAGCTCTTCTCGGGATAAAATCCCTTGGAAATCTCGTTGCATATTTATAAGGTTTATGTTACTTCCTTATACATAGCTTAATAAGTAAACTCGTGTTGAGTAATCTCTTAATTTGATTTTCAATGTACGGGAAGAAAGCACTTAATTCTGCGTGTTTCTTTTCAAGTGTTTTGTATAATATCGTGTAATTTCCATGTACAAGCCATTAGAAGCCTCTTCGAGTTAAGCTGCTGAAAATCGTTGTCTTGTAATGCGCGTTAGAGATAATCGCGATGAGATGCAACAAATGACTATATCTCGCGCGAGTCGAGGATCCCAGACTCATAATACGTTTAAGCCTCGCAAATCTACCTAGCGAGCGATACCGTTTCCCCTTTTAAGCGCTCCGTTTGCAGTTGGATTGCTTCTACTCGACGCAGCGATGCCATCGTCGTTTAACAATCGCATAAAGTTTCGATTGCCTCCACGCGCTGCATTGTCAGCAACAAATATCGCGTATACATGGAATTCCGTCGCTACGACGAAAGCACTTGTCGGGTCGCTTTAGAGAGTTGTGTAAATAAATAACGAGCTCTTTGCACTTCGTCTTTACTACGACTTCTCTTTCAATCTATAACTTTGCCTGCAGGTATAAATTCAACGCCATGCAAGAATTCATCGCTTTTTATCGTCCGTCACACATCTGAGGAATAAAAAAAATAATAAACATTATTCGTGTCATATTAAATAAGAATTTTTAGCGTTAGATTTGTTTTCTATCCTTCTTTCTCTTTCATTAATTGTAGAATAAAATGTTTTCATGTCATGTAGATATATATAAATGTGCAAAGCATTGTGCGATATAAATCATCGCAAACGTTCATTCCGATTTCATAATTTTTCATCATCTGTGATGACAACCTCCGATCGAAAATTTAATACCATGTCCTATTCAAATCTACTGCATGCAGTCGCACCTTGAAAATTGACGATAATATATTTCGCGTCAGTAAAATGTATAAAGATTCT